TATGATAATCTACTTCTGAAAATTAGGTAATATTTCTCAAAACTTCGATAATCGACTTCCCCAAAAATTCACCGACAATCTACTTTCCGAAAGTAGATAATCTATTTTAGAAGTAGATAACCAACTTTCCCGGAAAGTAGATTATTTCCCATTTTCTATGATACAAATTTCCCGTTTTCTATGATAATCTAATTCAGAAAATTAGGTAATATTTTACCAAAAAGTCGATAATCTACTTCCCCGAAAAGTCGATAATCTACTTTTCCGAAAAGTAGATAATTTACTTTTCGGGAAAGTAGATAACCAACTTTCCCGGAAAGTAGATTATTTCCCATTTTCTATGATACAAATTTCCCGTTTTCTATGATAATCTATTTCTGAAAATTAGGTAATATTTCTCAAAAAGTCGATAATTTACTTCCCCAAAAATTCGATAATCTACTTTCCCGAAAAGTAGATAATCTACTTTTCGGGAAAGTAGATAACCAACTTTCCCGGAAAGTAGATTATTTCCCATTTTCTGTGATTCAAATTTCCCGTTTTCTATGATAATCTACTTCTGAAAATTAGGTAATATTTCTCAAAAAGTCGATAATCTACTTCCCCGAAAAGTCGATAATCTACTTCCCCAAAAAGTCGATAATCTACTTTTCGGGAAAGTAGATAACCAACTTTCCCGGAAAGTAGATTATTTCCCATTTTCTGTGATACCAATTTCCCGTTTTCTATGATAAGTAGATAACCAACTTTCCCGGAAAGTAGATATTTCCCATTTTCTGTGATACAAATTTCCGTTTCTGATAATCGTACTGAAAATTAGGTAATGTTCTCAGCAATTCGATAATCTACTTCCCAAAAATTCGATAATCTACTTTTTCCCGAAAAGTAGATAATCTCCCTTTTCAGGAAAGTAGATAACCACCTTTCGGAAGTAGATTGTTTACATTTTCATGATTCAAATTTCCCGTTTTCTATGAGAATCTACTTCTGAAAATTAGGTAATATTTCTCAAAAATTCGATAATCTACTTCTCCAAAAAGTCGATAATCTACTTTCCCGAAAAGTAGATAATCTACTTTTCGGGAAAGTAGATAACCAACTTTCCCGGAAAGTAGATTATTTCCCATTTTCTATTATTCAAATTTCCCGTTTTCTATGATAATCTACTTCTGAAACTTAGGTAATATTTCTCAAAAAGTCGATAATCTACTTCTCCAAAAAGTCGATAATCTACTTCCCGAAAAGTAGATAATCTACTTTTCGGGAAAGTAGATAACCAACTTTCCCGGAAAGTAGATTATTTCCCATTTTCTATGATACAAATTTCCCGTTTTCTGCAAATAGTGAATAACTTAACTTTCCCCAGAAATGAGTCTTCCCATTTTCTATGATACAAATTTCCCGTTTTCTATGATAATCTACTTCTGAAAATTAGGTAATATTTCTCAAAAAGTCGCTTATCTACCTCCCCGAAAAGTCGATAATCTACTTTCCCGAAAAGTAGATTATCTACTTTTCAGGAAAGTAGATAACCAACTTTCCCGGAAAGTAGATTATTTCCCATTTTCTATGATACAAATTTCCCGTTTTCTATGATAATCTACTTCTGAAAATTAGGTATTATTTCTCAAAAAGTCGATTATCTACCTCCCCGAAAAGTCGATAATCTACTTTCCTGAAAAGTAGATAATCTACTTTTCGGGAAAGTAGATAACCAACTTTCACGGAAAGTAGATTATTTCCCATTTTCTATGATACAAATTTCCTGTTTTCTATGATAAGTATATAACCAACTTTCCCAGACAGTAGATATTTCTCATTTTCTATGATACAAATTTCCCGTTTTCTATGATAATCTACTTCTGAAAATTAGGTAATATTTCGCCCAAAATTCGATAATCTACTTCCCGAAAAGTCGATAATCTACTTTCCTGAAAAGTAGATAATCTACTTTTCGGGAAAGTAGATAACCAACTTTCCCGGAAAGTAGATTATTTCCCATTTTCTATGATACAAATTTCCCGTTTTCTATGATAATCTACTTCTGAAAATAAGGTAATATTTCTCAAAAAGTCAATAATGTACTTCCCCGAAAAGTCGATAATCTACTTTCCCGAAAAGTAGATAATCTACTTTTCGGGAAAGTAGATAACCAACTTTCCCGGAAAGTAGATTATTTCCCATTTTCTATGATACAAATTTCCCGTTTTCTATGATAATCTACTTCTGAAAATTAGGTAATATTTCCCAAAAATTCGATAATCTACTTCCCGAAAAGTCGATAATCTACTTTCCTGAAAAGTAGATAATCTACTTTTTGGGAAAGTAGATAACCAACTTTCGCGGAAAGTAGATTATTTCCCATTTTCTATGATACAAATTTCCCGTTTTCTATGATAATCTACTTCTGAAAATTAGGTAATATTTTTCAAAAAGTCGATAATCTACTTTCCTGAAAAGTAGATAATCTACTTTTCGGAAAAGTAGATAACCAACTTTCCCGGAAAGTAGATTATTTCCCATTTTCTATGATACAAATTTCCCGTTTTCTATGATAATCTACTTCTGAAAATTAGGTATTATTTCTCCCAAAGTCGATTATCTACCTCCCCGAAAAGTCGATAATCTACTTTCCCGAAAAGTAGATAATCTACTTTTCGGGAAAGTAGATAACCAACTTTCCCGGAAAGTAGATTATTTCCCATTTTCTATGATACAAATTTCCCGTTTTCTATGATAATCTACTTTTGAAAATTAGGTAATATTTCCCAAAAATTCGATAATCTACTTCCCGAAAATTTGATAATCTACTTTCCTGAAAAGTAGATAATCTACTTTTCGGAAAAGTAGATAACCAACTTTCCCGGAAAGTAGATTATTTCCCATTTTCTATGATACAAATTTCCCGTTTTCTATGATAATCTACTTCTGAAAATTAGGTAATATTTCCCCAAAATTCGATAATCTACTTCCCGAAAAGTCGATAATCTACTTTCCTGAAAAGTAGATAATCTACTTTTCGGGAAAGTAGATAACCAACTTTCCCGGAAAGTAGATTATTTCCCATTTTCTATGATACAAATTTCCCGTTTTCTATGATAATCTACTTCTGAAAATTAGGTAATATTTCTCAAAAAGTCGCTTATCTACCTCCCGAAAAGTCGATAATCTACTTTCCCGAAAAGTAGATAATCTACTTTTCGGGAAAGTAGATAACCAACTTTCCCGGAAAGTAGATTATTTCCCATTTTCTATGATACAAATTTCCCGTTTTCTATGATAATCTACTTCTGAAAATTTGGTAATATTTCCCAAAAAGTCGATAATCTACTTCCTGGGAAAGTTGGTTATCTACTTATCATAGAAAACAGGAAATTGGAGTTTATGCAGCAGCTTAGCTTTCTTTGGATATATATAAAACACGAAAAAGAAACAATGTTTTTATTTACATGATTTACATTTAGTTTAATGTCTGTTTCTCCTACGTACAGTCGCCTTCTGTGATGTGGATCTGTCAACAGCTGCCTTAAGTGCGACTTATCCTTGACCAGTGCAAGGCTACCAACCTGGTTGACATGTCTCACATACCTCTTGTACTGCTCAACCAGACGAGCCTCACATAGGCCCTAGCAGACACCTCTGATGGCCTTACCTCGGTCCTGGTGACCTCACACAGCCCCTGGTAGCCTCACTAAAGCCTCTACTAGCTCCACACAGATCCCCTGGCAGATTCCACGGTCTTATACAAGCCCCATTGACCTAGTAGCCTCATCCAGCCCGGCAGTGTTACAGAGCCCCGAAGAGCATCACACAAACCTTAGGAGCAACAATCAGCCACCCAGTCACAATTAGCTGTCTATGACCCTCGCATATACCGACGTACAAACAACAGCCCCTGTTGACATCACAGTCCTTAAATACTTTATATAACCACACAGCCCCTGGCAGCCTCATATACAACCTGGGGGACTCACACAGCCCCTAGCAGTGGCACACTGCCTCAGGATTTTTTTAACATGTACAACAAATACAAAAAAATATAATTACAAAAGTTAGTCTAGAGGAAACATCATTGGTTACAAGCAAGTTGTGAAGATGTAAGAATTATTGAAAAATACAGTAAAATCTTAAACTGGCATCTTATATAAGACAGTGCCAGGAAGAATTAAATATTTTATGCAAATGATGACAATGTACAAAATAACCTAAGTTCAACAATGTTTTGACATTTTTGAGCTAGTCAACACAGTCAGTCTACCTCATTGCGGGTACACAGCAGTGACGTCACCATTACTACTGTACCACAATGATGGAATAGACCACTAGAGCAATGCAGTCTACCTGATTGATGGGACTGACACCTTTCACTTTACATTGGTTAACGTAAACAGAAAATGAAATTAAATACCTGTATTAGTCACAACTATGACTAATTTAAGGTGAACTAAATCATTCTTCATAAATTGCACACACATGATAACTGTATTACAAAATCTTAACTTTAATATCACACAAGTCTACTTGTATATTATATGGTCACTCATTAACAAGGCCTTCCTTCTGTCCTACGTACATTTCAGTGAATATCTCACTCTTATACAACACACAAGTTCTTCCCTCATTGCTACCGAGTCCACCTCTCACTCCTACACATCACAGTGAGACCTTCTCTCGCTCCTACACATCAGAGTCGTCCTCTCAATCCTACACATCACAGTGAGACCTTCTCTCACTCCTACACATCACAGAGTCCTTCCCTCACTCCTACACATCACATTGAGACCTTCTCTCACTCCTACACATCAGTGAGACCTTCTCTCACTCCTACACATCACAGAGTCCTTCCCTCTCTCCTACACATCACATTGAGACCTTCTCTCACTCCTACACATCACAGTGATACCTTCTCTCACTCCTACACATCACAGTGAGACCTTCTCTCACTCCTACACATCACAGTGAGACCTTCTATCACTCCTACACATTACAGAGACCTTCTCTCACTCCTACACATCACAGTGAGACCTTCCCTCACTCCTACACATTAGAGTGAGGGAAGGACCAGTAAGACATGGAAGGAAGGCTGGGAGTGACTTTTTTGTATTTAAATAATGAGGCAATGCCGCTATTATTACCTCAGTTAAAGCTAAAAGAAATGCAACAGTTAATAATTCTCTCATATTTCGTCTACGGGTGGGAATTATAATTTCATGACGTTAGAGATTTGTAAGTTTGCATTTATTTGAAATAGTGAAGGAATGTCGTTTCGCCTACCAAAAAAGTAAAGGAATGCCATTCCCATGCATTCCTATAGCACTACACCTCTGCCTCATTAATTGGTCAGCAAGTCATTCCCTCACTCACTAATAGGTCAACAAGTCTTTCTTTCTGTACATCACTGGAAGTCCTTCCTTAGCCAAGCACAATATTGCTTGTTCTTCCCTCACTCTTACACTATGTCTACTGTAGTCAGTAGATAAACTTTGAATATACTGTTAATTTTTTTTAGTATTTATGTAGATAGACATATTTAATGCAGCAATCAAACAGCGAAGTACAGTACTACTGCCTGGAAAGATATTGAAAGCACAATGTGTTGTCTAATGGTATACATTCTTGCCATATGGCACCACAAAAATTGAGACCAAGTCCCGGCTTGTTGAATCTGACTTTCTGACTCATTTACATAAAATTGCAGGGTTTTAATTGTTTCTCTTACTTTGACAATACAACATAATTATCGTTTCTTTTCTTTCTTATTTTCACCCCATCAGGCCCCAATGTGGGTCAGTAAGTGGGCTAATGTCTATGGGGAAGACAAATCCAGTCGTGTTGGGTAGATACACTTATTTAGGGCAGATTCATCTTTTTCTGTAGTCTTGATCATTTTTCTTGTCTATCTTGATTGTGCTGTGTCATCTGGAAACCAAGTTATGGTTCTCATCCTCTCTGTAGTGATGTTTTCTATTTCTACCTGTAAAATGAATACAGTATTTTATTAGCCAAAAATAGTTATGTTTTTTTTGGTATATTGCAGTGGCAAGAATTAAAATCACTTTCTTCATACACTCTCATTCAATAGTCACACTACCTGGTGGACTAGACGTGCTCTGGTATAATATTTCATCACCCACAGCAAGTGTTACCTCACAAGTCAACATTGCTCACCAGATAGATGTCTTTTCCCCCAAATCACAGCCATATTATCCACTCCTTCATACACACACACATCACTGCTTGCTGGATGTTCCTTCCTTCACACTTCTAGTGCAGCCTCCACCCCACCCTTCCATCTCCTCCCTCCTACCACACACTTATCAGTCTTACACATCCCATTCTCTCAATTTGTCTATTCCATCTGACCATCTATCCAATATTCCACTGCCAATTTCATCACTCACTATATATATTGACACCTTTACTCCTTTAGCATTAAAACTGCTGTTTCCCATGATTTGTAGTGTACTGTGAGTAGAGGCAGATGCTCCCCTGCTGCTCTCTAAGAAATAATAGTGAAAAAAAAATCGTAAATATATTGCTTGTGATAGTTTCTTGAAATACTCCAAGCCACATTAAGGCCACTAATTACCCCCCAATCGAAACGAGGATCATAGATTTGCAATCAGCATGCTCAGGAGTACATATACTGGACTAACTTTCCCCGCAGGTCAAGTTGGCCAAAAGTGACCTCATACCAAGCCTGAGGAGTTGAAGTTTTAAGATGATAGAAAAGGTAAAAGTTTTAAGTTACTGTTTGTTCTAAACTTAGGTTTATCACATTGGGTATTGGATAAAGGCTTTTTGTATGTTGGGCAGTGTGGGTGACATGTTGTAGGGTCTAGTAATGGAACTGTGTTAGACTTTGTGTACAGGATAGTGCATGAAGCAGTGTAGAGATGTGTACTACAGTGTAACAGTATTGGTGATAAGTAACTATTGTGGACGAGCTTTGTTGGGAACAGTTTAAGTACGTGTGGTCTAGTAGTTGATAGAAATTGCAGGTTTAATCTTCATTGTACACGAATTACAACTCTTAAAAATGTTGCAGTTGACATCTAACATACGTTAAGGCCAATGTCGGAAGTGACGGAACCTTGAGCAAGATATAACGAACAGCATGTTACTTCAGCCTCCTCAGTTAAGGTACTTGTGTATTTTAGTACGGCCACTGGAAGTAAGACTCAAGAGGAGGGAGTTAATATGTGCTAAGGTTTGGGAAGGAAGAGTATGGGCACGGGACAGTGGTGGGGGTGCTCGTACAGTGGAAGTGGAGCTCGTACAGTGGTGGGGGTGCTCCTACAGTGGTGGGGGTGCTCGTACAGGGGTGAGGGTGTTCGTACAGTGGAAGGGCGCTTGTAGGGGGTGAGGTGTTCGTACAGTGGAAGGGCGCTTGTACAGTGGTGGGGGTGCTCGTACAGTGGAAGTGGAGCTTGTACAGTGGTGGGGGTGCTCCTACAGTGGTGGGGGTGCTCGTACAGGGGTGAGGGTGTTCGTACAGTGGAAGGGCGCTTGTACAGTGGGGCACTCTTGCATGGCTTATGAGAAGTCTATTGCAGCCATAAGCGAGGGAAGGATGCTGCTCACGTGTACTGTAAGGTGGTATAGTGTTCGAGTGTAAGGTTATACATAAGGATGCAAGTTTAGAATCCAAGAAATTTTGGAGTAAATGTTGTGTATTGGCTAATTAAGATTTCCCTAAATTCAAAATCCTGTTGCAGACGGCTAGTGTGCAAGATATATGGACCAGATACGACAACAGGGCAGCCAAATGACCGCAGTATAACTAAGCCTTGAGTCTAGCCACACCAGGTATTAAAAATAGGTGGATATGTGCATTGGTAATGATACATTATGGTTAAGATTTATCTACTTTTAATATCATGTTGCAGATGGTTGGTGTACTGAACAAGATCGATGGACCAGATACGACAACAGGGCAGCCAAATGACCGCAGTGACTGTACTGTAAGAATAATGTAGTGTAAAAGCTTGTTTAAGTATTATTGAAACATTTTTATTACACTTTATATATAATTTTAGCAAAATTTGATAAATTATATAAGTAATGCATTCAAGAATGAATAAGTAAACCTCAATGTTGTGTATTGGTTGTGATATATATAAAGGGTTAAGATGTATCTACATTCCAAATTATGTTGCAGATGATTGTTGTACATGGTAAATGGACCAGACATTACAACAAGGCAGCAAGATGACTGCAATGACTGTTCTCACTACTGTCCCACAGTCCACACCTTGATGACTACCACCTTACTAAGGAAGCACAGAATTGTTATAGTACTGTACCGTAAGAATGTGATGTTAAAGTTCATGGAGAACTCAAACATTTTTGAGATAATTTAGCGAAACTTGAAAAATTTAATGTAAATCATTCAAGAACGTATAAGTAAACCTGAACGGGTTAAAAACAACTAGGTACCTTGTACAGGTATAGCATTATTATATATCACGGCAGCCACAGTATTGTAGTGGTTTAACAAAAACATTCTATACTGTGAGTTTTTGTCCACAGGTGAAGTATCAACAAGGTGTAGAACAAGAGATATGAGGACTTCAATCAGACGGATCCATTTCTAATAGTGGTTTGTAAAATCAAGTGTAAAATGTACTGTAATTGGGAGACCTCTGGTGGTTTGTGCTGTGGGGAGGCGCTTGTTCTGTGGGGAGGCTTTTTTGCTGTGGGGAGGCGCTTGTGCTGTGGGGAGGCGCTTGTGCTGTGGGGAGGCGCTTGTGCTGTGGGGAGGCGCTTGTGCTGTGGGGAGTCGCTTGTGATGTGGGGTGGCATTTGTACTGTGGGGAGGCATTTATAATGTGGGGAGGCGGTTGTAATGGTTGGCGCTCTTACACAATATCTGTATATAATCAAACAAATAAACACAAAATATACTTGATAAGTTTTATACTCCAAAGTTGAATGATAATGGTCTTGTAAACCATAAAGTACATTACTACTGTAAATTAAAGTTTAAACTTAAAGTTATACTGTAAATGAATCTCAAGTGATGAACTGATAAACTTGGATACACCCACATGATGGCTTCTACTGTATATCTCTAATACAGTGAATGCCCACATGAATACTGTGTAACTTAATTAATGCCCACATGATAGCCTGTATAATTATAACTACTGTACTGCAATTGATCTATATATTCTTATCACTAATTGACATCCAAGTGCCAGCCTATGTATAACTGTTACAAACTAATGCCCATGTGATGACCTATTGAGTATGTACAATTAAAACTAAAAAATACTTAAAGTTAGCATTGTAATAGTGTATCTCAATTTGGTGCAGTTATTACAAGGTGTACAATCAAAGACAAACGTCGTGTCTTGGTTTTGTTCAAAGATTATATATATATAACTCGTGAAACATTATGAGAGCCCCTGACCACAAGGCAGAGCGCACCAAAAGTTTAGACCTTCGACTTATGTTTTCACCAAATTTCACGACACGATTTTCGTCTTTCATTGTACACGCAATCCAAAAAAATTTTGGCGAGTGTAAATAAAAGTAAAGTACAGAAGCGTTTGTACTTACTCGATGTTGTGACAATCTGGCCACTGCTCATTAGCTGCTGAATGTAAGTCAGTTTTACCTGAAAATTTAGAAAAGAAATCCTTGTAAAATTATAGTAAACAAAATCTAAATTTTCTATGTACAATAAACAAAATTAAAATTGATTGTTATACAAAGCTTGAAACATTGAAATCCAATGGTCATGTTTACTGTAAATGGCCATGTTTAAAAGTAAGGTTTTGAAATAAAGGAATAGGAATTTGATACTTGACCTAAAGTAAAGAGGGTGTTAGAGGTAACGTGTGTATCTCACAACACTGTCCTGGGACAGATGTGAGAAGGATGTTGAGTGTAAACCCAGCAAAGATCACAGATTTCCTCTGTACCAGCACTGGCCAATTAAGGTTGAGACCAACCATCTAAACACTGCTTGAATGGCTAGTAAGATGGCAAGTGGTGGAATAATAAATAAAAGAGTACAGTGTATTCTTGACTAACACTGGTTTAAAAAACAATCGCCCCCTTAGACCCCTCGAGTATTCACTAAACAAAGGTGGTAACCCTGGACTGCCCAAAAGGCTAGTAAGCTGACAAGTGGTGGAAGTGATAAATGGACTTGCTTACTGGATAAATTTAGAAATACCCCTCCCCCCCCCTCCCCTTATACCTGGCCAAAAGTATTCACAAAGGGTAAAATATCCTTCCATTATTAGATAAAACAATCTTCTGTACAACCAAGATCTGACGAAACATGCATACAAAATCATTAAGTTTTCTACTGTATTACACACCCCACCTGTGGAGTCCACAATATAAACGTTTAATTGGGAAATACTTGATAGATGACAAACACTGATGACCCTCCATTGATGTATCGGCCAAGGAGATATGATAGTAGTGTTAATGTGCTCTCGGACATGTAAGAAAGGGGTTATCCAGTATGTCTTTACCAATCGATGCAAGTCCTGATTTCCTCTTGCACTAACGCTAGATAATGTAGGTGTTAATTGAGAACCTAAGACTACCCCAATGGGTGGTGAGAAGGACCTACAGTAGACTGCAGGTGTAACGAACAAAATCACAGTATAATGAGATTTTGTAATATTCATGTATCAAACTTCTAGACTTATTGTATAATGTAATAGATGTGTAGTGTATACAAATGAAAATAAAAAATATATTTATATAATTCCTTTTATTTTTCGATATTACTCTACAAAGATCTAATATACTGCACTACAAGGCCAGTGTTTGAGAAATCTAAACAGGGTCTAACAAACTGAAGGTGATATAAAGTGGTATTGGTGTACTTAGTAAATACTGGATCTTTTTCTTTAGTACTTATCAATAAAAAGCTGAAATACTACAATGTTGGTCTTGGGAAAATATAAACCTGGTCATGAAACAAAAATAAGTTACTGTACCTCGTATTATTATAAACACGTCTGAAAAAGAAGTGTTTATGAAGAGTTGATCATGCAACACTGCAGTAGCCCTCCTCCTTTATCAGGGCTGGGGACTGGCATGTTCAGTTGAACAAGGAGGAGTTACTACGGTGAATCTACGTCTAACTACGGTGCTGTTACTAGTACTACCACCATAAAAATATTAAATGTTTCCTGAACTACTTTTACCACCTCCAAGGAGCACCTTGTTGTGGGTCCACAGTCAGCCACACAAACCTGGAATACAAAAAGATTTAGACAATGTTCATTAATACCTTACATATAGACATTACATACTGTCACATATACTTTACCTGTTTGGTGGAGTTCTTGACCAGCCAGACGGTCACCTCAGCCAGCCAGACGGTCACCTCAGCCAGCCAGACATTCATCTCAGAGTCACACAATCGGAAAGACAAAAAAAAATCGAAGGCAGTGAGGATGGGCAGGAGGAGTGTGTGGATGGGAGGAGGGGTGTGTGGATGGGAGGAGGGGTGTGTGGATGGGAGGAGGGGTGTGTGGATGGGAGGA